CACTAAAGACAATACTGTTCCATTCCTGATCCCAGAGTGACCGTTGTCTGCACCACTCAAGGCGATTACGTCGGTGTTCTCGAGTTAAAGGGAGGACCCAGTGTGGCCGGTATGAAAACAAGCCAAAACTTCTCATTCGTCGGTAAACACTTCGCATGCCAATAGGTCTTCCGTGTTCTGCAAACCATTCATTTGCAATGGACCTGGTAGTGGAGAAACGGTCCCTTAAGGCCAATAATCTTAGGCGGCGATCTTCACGGTCTGTTGTTCTACGGCGGCGTCCAGTGCCCCTTGCTCTTTGCGTACGGCCTTCTCGAAGCCATGCCTGACAACACCTAACCACAGTGTCCACACTTACTTGTACTCTAACTGAAATTGCCCGAAAAGAAAGTCCAGCTTCCCGAAGTCCCACTATACGGCCCCTATCAAACTCACTAAGTTGACGAAATCGTACAGGTCTCCGTACTCTAGGCATCGTAACCGATCGTAAAGAATGTCCAACTGATAAGGCTGAAAATTTTTTCACTTGTTATTTACAGTAAGATAAATACATTCACCAACTTTTATTAAAATAAAACCATTTAAACTGGGTGTTCGGATTTATATGTCACTTAGTATATAAGCAATTTCCAAATTTGTATCGACCTAATTCAAACTGAACGGTACTATACGCATTAGTGACTGTTTTTAGTGAGATTAAGCTATGTTACCGGTTATAATGGAAAAAATGAGTGAACTAGATATATCCTAGTAAGAATGAAACAGGAGGCACAAGAAATGACATCAAATTTCATTCTATTTAACTGGCTTGGTATATATGAAGTATGAAGCTACCTTTTATTTAAGTTAAATGTAAGCTTCGGTATAATTTTTGGGAACCTGAACTACCCAGCTTATATTTGGTCGGAGGTTTTCCATAAATTACACCCTTATATGTATATTTGTTTAAAGGTGCATGTAGATTGTAGGAAGTTCCACTTTATAATCTTTTTCTTACATCTTATAGCGTTGTTGCCAGGATGATTGATTATTTCAAAATCAAACAAGTTAGATAATTTTTCAGTTTAGCTTACTTGCTAGTATTGTCATTGGGGAATTTTGTTATAGAAATATTTTGGATAAGCGGATAAGGCTGCCAAATTCTATACAGGGCACCCAGGAAGGTGGGCTGTGCTTTTTAACTTTCTCTTAATTTTCATGTAGAAATGGAAAGTTCTATACAGGGAATCGAAATTGTGGGTAATTTTGGACGTTATTTACTGATTTTTGCCGAATAGATCATTGTTCTGAGTCCTCCGGTTAATAGGATAAGATTTTTGTCGTGTTCATTCTCGTTTAGATAGCAACACAACATAAATGTAGAATGCAGGTTAATCAGTGCAAATAAGTGTTGGGTTCCAATTGCCTCAAAAAACACTGATTGAAACGTTTTTTTTTTTTTTAGGTTTTTCACGTCTTTATTGAATTTGAATTCGTTATAAACTATCTTCAAAATGACTTCCTCCCTTTGATGGGAATAATGATAGTAGTAATAGCAGAGAAATAAACAGGTAGGCATCAGAATGCAATTAAGTACCTTTCAGGTGTCTGACAACCTTTATTAGTGCATTAGCGGTAAAGGTTTATATCACTGATAACGAGTTGTAATAGTTTTAAATTATTTTTATTGATCAAAATATTATATATTACAAATGGTATAAACCTTGGCCATTCATGCTCTAATACCCTCCATGGTAGATCTAAAATGAAGGAAGTTGAGGCATCCATATTTATTTTTAGTTACATATAAGATATTATACAGGGTATTCCTTAATTATAGGCGAATATTTAAGGGTGTGAATATACATGAAAAATTATTGTTAGTTTGCTTTATAAACTATGGTCCAAAAATGTTTCCTTTCAAAAACTCGGGGAGAAAGTTGAGGTAAGTCTGTCCGTCAAGTCGTCCCGGCAAGAAGAATGGGCCAATAAAGTGCTGGCCAATAATTCCTGCCCATACGTTAACCGAAAATTGGTGTTGGAAATGAGTTTTGGTTACGGGATAGGGATTTTCTTCTGACCACAAATGATTATTGTGGAAATTCTGAATGGCATTTCGAGAAAAATTAGCTTCGTCCGTGAGCAGAATCATTGATTCAAATTGCGTAATTTGTCTAATTTTTTTAAGATACCACTGACAAAAGGGCACACGCCTTGGAAAATCAATGGGAAGTAATGCCTGCACCGCTTCCTCAATTTCAGGTGTTCTCACACTTGGACGTCTACCTTCAGATGTTCCTTTTCGGACAGAACCAGTTTCAACAAGACGACGATGAATATTAGAAAAGGACTATCTGGCAAAGCACGATCGGGATATCTCTGGTGATAAATCCGTCTGGCTTGCTCACCATTACCGTCGGCAAAGCCATATATGTAATGCATTTCTGCCATGTCTGTATTTGAATAATTCACCATTATTAACAAGATTGTACAAACTGAATAATGAAAAAGATGTCACAGTGAACAGATTTGAATAACAGAGACTTATCAGATGTCAAAATCCAGTGACATATTCCAGAGCAACTGAACATTTATTGCTAAATTGCATTCTTCAATTATTACTTTAATTTTCTCAGACAATAGAACGGTTTTCATTTTTTTACTCAAAAATGGCGCAGCGAAGGAAAACAATTCAAGAGAAATAATTTGCTTTAAGTTGAACGGCGAATTCATATTTGGCAAAAAACATTGGCGTACCATTTTTTTCTTAAAAAATATCGAAGTCAATACCTGTACTCACGCCCCTGTTAAAGCTAAAAATTATTTTTGCATTGAAAAATATGCACCTTTATTAACTTTCACTACGTACTAAATATCATTGAAATATCTGAAGCGGTTCTGAAACTATTAATTTTCATTTTTTTACTAAAACTTCAACACCCCGAGTTTTTGGACCATAGTTTATACAGCAAACTAAGATTAATTTTTCATGTAGATTCACACCCTTAAATATTCGCATATCATTAAGGAACACCCTGTATATTTCGACAAAACAAAAAAGTTATAACGATATTTATCGGCGTTTTCAGGCAATCCATCATAAAAGCAAAGAAGATCATGCCCCAGTAGCCATAGTATCTGAAACATTGAGGTTTTCAGTAAAAATTATTAAAAAGCCTTTCCAATTGCCCAAAAAATTATTGAAATCCTTAAAATCGCGCGCTGGAAAAGTTAAACCTATTTTATATTCCACTTTCAGTGGCACTGTAGCGCAAAATACGGCACTGATCATAAACCAGTCGCCCATAGGAAATTTCAGGAAGACTTCAATTTCAAGATAGTAGATTCTCGACAACCCAGCTCGCCATCTATCAGGTGTCCATCAAGAAATAGTAACATTATGCTTGAAGAAAACGTGAATAGTCGAAAATGCGATCAGTTGAGAAAAAAAACCTTTAGATTTGATAATTCAATATCTAGTTTAGTATAAGAATGACTTTTTTCGGCCAGTCCACCATTTCGATAGATAGCGATGTTATATTCTAGGGTTAAAAAAGCATGCATACAGAGCTTTAAAATTAACCCCTTACTGCATACTGTGCCATATTTGGCACACATTCAAATTATTTTCTTTTTCAAGTTCCTAAACAGTTTAAGACGCAAATTCAAGTTGTCCCATATCTGGCACGCTTGCTTCTTTATTGGTCAAACCCTAAATATCCGCCACTCGCGATGTATCATTCGGTGAACAGCGGATCGGTGACACGCACTAACCTGTTTGCGTTTGCTTAGGATAATTTTATTTTTTTGGCATTTCTAGAGTCTAAAAAATCATTTTTATGGAGGTAAGTGTTCAGTATGTTTAGATATGCGGTATAAATTTTTTTTCACAAAAACGTGACAAAAACTGCCCTTGTTTACTTGTGCCATATTTAGAACAATATGAAATGAAGAAATAATATTCTTGTAACGGATTTTTCTTTTTCAGATGGATTGCAAGAAATTTTACGGTCCTACGAATATACAAATCCTAGTGACTGATTGGAGTGATGATGAAAAAAATTTTTTATTTTTTTTTTATATTCCAACTACCACGAAGGCCTAAGGCCTAAGCACCCATTGGGTACCGTGGGGCTATGGGGGATACATGGGAAAGGGGGGACGCCACACGGACTCTGGCGAGGGAACACGTGTGCATGCAACATGCACACATTCTGGCTCCGCCTATGAGAACCGCCGGGTGGTACCTCCGCGTTCGACAGTCAGAGACCACCTATCACCTACGGACAATCACAACATCCATAGCCAAGAGAAAAATTTCTCCTGGGACGGGACTCGAACCCGCACAGCGCACGGCGACTGATCAGGAGACCGAAGAGTCTACTACTGCGGCCACCGCTGCTGCCTATTTTTATCTTCTGATGACGACCATCGGAAGAGTGAGCTAATAAATCTCAAAAAATCCGAAATATTTTGTGAATCGTCAGAAAATGAAAGCAATGCTGCAACTGAAGAAGAAAAATCAACTGAAGGAATTATTATCGATGAAACTGACAGTGACGGTGAGTGTGATATACCTCTTTCTATATTACGTCAATCTTTGCAAGATCCGCGTAATGAAAACAGTTTAGCGTCGTCAACTAAATCGAATAGTGATAAAAATTTGTTATCAACAAAGAATAGGAAAAAAATTGAAAAATCGCAATGCAAAAAACAGAAAAAGAAAAAATTGATTGACATAACAGGTTTCTAGCCGTTACCGAAGAGTTTGTACAATTCAAAGGAGACGAAACTCTTCCAAACTTCATAGAAGAACTTGAGCATCCCTTTCAGTTTTTTAATTTCTTTTTCAGCGATGAAATTTTCGATTATATAACCGAACAAAAAACCTTTTAGGCGTACAAAATAGACCTGAAAAACCGCCCAATATATCCAAAGCGAAACTTCGCATTTTTTGCGGTATTTGTTTATATATGTCAATTATTCAACTTCTTTCAACCAGATCCTACTGGAACAATTCAATGGATATTCCTTCCATCTCGCGTGCTATGAACTGCAATAGATTTGAAGAAATCAGACGATTTCTTCACTTCAATGACAATACGTCTCAAGCTCCTCAAGGGCAGCCAGGGTATGATAAGCTTTTCAAGATACGTCCATTTCTAAACAAAATTCGTGAACGTTTCTTGCTTGTTCCTAAGGAGGAACATATGGCCGTAGACAAACAAATAATCCCGACAAAAGCGCGATCAAGCCTCAAGCAATATAATCCCAAGAAACCACATAAGTGGGGATACAAGGTTTTTGTTCTAAGTGGATTTTCCTATGATTTTGATTTTTATTGTGGAACTACTACTCTTGAAGATGATCAACCAGGGTAAGCAGCAACGTTGTTGTGAAACTTTCGAAAACGATTCCCAAAAATTTTGAACTACAAGTTATTTTTTGATAACTGGTTTACAAGCATTCCTCTACAAATATATCTGACCAAAAATGGTATTTTACCTTTGGAGACAGTAAGAGGAAATTGTGTGCCTAATTTCGAATTTCCCAAGGAAACAGCTATGAGAAAGAAATAGAAATAGATAGAAATCACCCGTCCGCAATGCATTGTAGTATATAATACTTACATGGGGGGAGTAGATCTACTCGATTCCATGTTAGGATACTACAGAATTCAGATTTGATCTAAAAAGTGGTATATGAGGGTGTTTTTCCATTTTCTTGATATGATATGCGTCAATACTGTGGAGGCGAGACTTGAAAAATAAGGATTTATACTTACCACTTTCAGAATTTAAACTTGCTATTGCAGAAGTTATGAGCAGAGCTTGTACTTTAGAAAGAAAAAGAGGGAGGTCAAGTACTAGTTTACAACCTCAACTTGACATAAAGAAAAAAAATATCCTTTCTGGCAGATTCCCGCTCAAGAAATAAGACTTGAATCATTTACCAGTAGTGAATGAAGAACGACAGAGGTGCAAATATCCAGATTGAAAAGGAAAATCTCAAATATCGTATGGCAAATGTTTAGTATTTCTATGTCTAAATAAGGATCGCAATTGTTTTAATAAATTCCACACAGAATAGTGCACGCTTGTGAAATTTGTACCAAAGTTGATACGTGTTAAAAATTAAAATTATTTACTTCACCGCATTTTGTGACAAATTTGGCACATGTCAAAATTTGGCATTTATTTTTCTAAAATAAACGATGAATATTTTTTTAAATATTTTTCCGTAGTTTTAATGGCTTAATCCTATCACATATATGTTTTTACAATAAACAAAAATTCATGCAGTAAGCGGTTAAGAATCAGAGGACCATCCCATTACATTTAAAACTGTTCTAATATAATGCCCAGTTGCCATTCGACTGCTACTTTTAAGCAAAGATATAGAATTTATGTATCAATTTCGCCACACCAAATTTCAGCTTGATAACAGAGCATGCTCAAAAAATTAGTAAAGGGGGACCTTTTTAAAAAGCACTGTATATAAGGGGTAATCTTAAAAACAATTGCAAAAATTGTTGCCAAACTTACACTATCCTCAAGCGTATCATATTTGTTCTACAGGGTGTTTCAGTTTATTGTTGCATAACTTTAAGATTCGATAGAACTTTTAAAGTTAATGCATAAAGTCTATATAAACATGGGTCGAAAAATGCGTGGCTTCCGAAATACAGGGTGTTTAAATTTACTTTTTAAAATAGTTTTTTTAAAATATTTCGAACAATATTTGATATATAACAGTGAAAATTGGTATACAAGGTTTTTTTGGTACGACAAAACGAACCATGTGCATAGTTTTACTGTAGTCGCTAGAGGGCGCTCTCTACTATACCTGTAGTGTATTAAAATGACCGAAATTTTTTTCTTAGTGCAATTTTTTGCTTTTTGAATAAAAAAACTGATTCTTCGCACTTTTCAACATAAAAAAGCTCTCATGTGAGTTTTCGTTATAGTTAGCCGTTTTTGAGATATTTCGATTTTTAAGGTTCGATGCATTTTTAATTATTTATGGGAATTTTTTTTACATTTTCGATTTGAGCGTTACAAGTAATTAAGATGATCGTTTAGATTGTGTTTTTAAACACAGCAATAATTCCTAACTCCAAATAAACACAAAAAAACAGAATATTAATTTGTTTAATTTTCCAATATTATTTTTAACAAATTAAATTAATTATTTACAACTAAAATGCTATTGGATAGTTAGAACAAACATACAAAATCTAAAGTAGTTGCTCGAAATGTAAACCCAATTGTTCAATACACAATTCACATCTACGAATGATCGAACGTGGTATAGCATTATTCAAATAAGGCCTTATTTCATCACATGCATTCCTGATTCTGTCTATTAGCATATCTCTTGTGGTTACGGGAGTCTGGTACACTTTTTCTTTTAGAAATCCCCACACAAAGAAATCTAATGGATTTAGGTCAGGGGATCGTGGAGGCCAGGCGACTGGTTCTCCACGGCCGATCCATCTTTCTGGATAATTTTCTTCCAGCCAGTTTCTAACTATTCTCGAATAATGAGCTGGACAACCATGAAGCTGGAACCAGGCCAATCTTCTTAAATCTAACATAACATCATCCCACATATTTGCATGTTCAGCCTTTAAAAATTCCAAGAAGGTCGCAGCATTTAACCTTGCAGACAAAAGGTAGGGTCCAAATACTCGATTACGGTAGATACCAATCCACACGTTCACACTAAATTCATCCTGAAAATTTCTTTCCCGAACTGCATGCGGATTTTCATGCGACCAAATATGTTGATTATGAAAATTTACCACTCCACGTCTAGTGAAGCATGACTCATCGGTCCATAAAACGTTACTTATAAACTCCCTATTATTATCAGTTCTATCAAGAATCCACTGACAAAATGTGATTCTTCGTTCTCCGTCCCCTGGCTGTAGTCCTTGCACAGGTTGCAAACGGTAAGGACGTCTATGGTCATTTCTAAGAACACGATGAACATGGCTTGCTGAAATTCCCAAGGCACCAGAAACTCTCCTAACACTTGTGGTCGGATCTCTATCAAACTCACGCAGAATCATACGGGTAAATCTGTGCTGACGAACATTTATGTTTTGATCCCTTTGGAGATTTCCAAAACCATTTTCAATTATTTGATGATGCACTCTTACAAATACTGAGCGAGTTGGATGTCGTCTGTTTGGAAATCTTCGTGCGTATTCTCTGGCTGTTTCTGCTGCGGTTCCATTTACAAAGCCATACACAAAATGAATATCCGCTAACTCTTGATTGGAGAATAAAAATGGAATTTTTATCAAACTTACAAAAAAAACAGGTAAAAGAAACTAAATTTCGTGCATTCACAATTGCAAAAAAACGTTTCAGGTTTCAACAGACAACAAAACTGTCAACTAATTGACGTTTAACATTATTCTGCTTTCAATTTCAAAAATATTTGCAGGCACAGCCTACTTCTAAAAATTATCGAGATACTGACTTTTTAACGTTATTTTATCATAAATAATTAAAAATGCATCGAACCTTAAAAATCGAAATATCTCAAAAACGGCTAACTATAACGAAAACTCACATGAGAGCTTTTTTATGTTGAAAAGTGCGAAGAATCAGTTTTTTATTCAAAAAGCAAAAAGAAAAAAATTTCTGTCATTTTAATACACTACAGGTACAGTAGAGAGCGCCCTCTAGCGACTACTGTAAAACTATGCACATGGTTCGTTTTGTCGTACCAAAAAAACCTTGTATACCAATTTTCACTGTTATACATCAAATATTGTTCGAAATATTTAAAAAAAACTATTTTAGAAAGTAAATTTAAACACCCTGTATTTCGGAAGCCACGCATTTTTCGACCCATGTTTATATAGACTTTATGCATTAATTTTAAAAGTTCTATCGAATCTTAAAGTTATGCAACAATAAACTGAAACACCCTGTATATTAGCATGCTCGAATCATTTTTGTCTTAACAAGGCAAGACTTTCCAGTGGTCCCCTATGTTTGTCTAGTCAATGAAACCACGTATATTTGAAATTATTCTGTATAGTATACGTTTCGGTCACAACGCTACATGACAGTGTTCACAATATCTTATTTATCTTTTGTTGTTCAAAGTGTCAAGCACTGAAAAAGAATTTCAAATATATGTAGTTTCCTTGGTCAGACAAACATGTGAGATTATCGACATGAAAACCACAGGATAAGTTTCAGATGATACAGAATATACAATTTTAAAATTTCCTAACCTATAGTTGCACTCTCATATGAAAAGCTACACTTACCAGTGCGATTAACAAATAGATAATAAGCATGATTCGGCGACTTACAAACAATATGAACAGTATAAATAATGACGAGTTACTGAAGCCTCAAGGTGTGTTACGTCAGCGATAAGCGCTATCATTTTGGAGCACTAAGTTCAGCTCAAATATAAAATACTGGAAGTTTCTGAAAGTATCTGAAGTTCGATGATGCTTCACATGGTCTTAGAATCGGACAGAATCATGTTTATACGATGTTCGCCTTGAATCGGTAGTATTAACCGTAATTACACGGTATATAATAACATATTCATCCTGGTTGAATGGATGCCTGACATCAGTGGCGGATTTAGGGGGCGCGAGGGGCGCGCGCCCCCCTAGACGTCTGATACTTGCTTTTATAATATAGCACCATTGTGTTACTTGCTGACACATCATGGCGACAGAGACATACTAACTACGAGCCCCTTCCCACTTCAGTTGGCCCAACTATTGAAATCTTAGTTTTTTTCTTATCAAACACAAATAATAAAAATGTAGCAGGGGGTTATAGGTTTAAAATATTAACAATGAAGATTTTGATAATATATAGTAGAAAACACCAACTTTATCACTCCCTAATCAAATTTGCAGCATAAAAATAGCACATGTTGCAATTACAGCATATCATTTCAATCCAAAATAAGTCTATAACGCATAGGTGGCTATGAAAAATAAAAGCCATGACAATTGTTTTTATTAATCACAGCTGTCAGAATACGTTTAAAATAGTTTTGGGTAGTTGAGGTTTTCAAAATGGGTAGAGGAAAGGTTATTAGTGAGAAAATTCGGTTACTGATAATTGAATTTTTTAATTCTGGGAAAGCAAACTCATAAATTGCAACTTTGTTAGACTTATCACGGTACGGTGTGAGAAATATTGTTAGAAGATATAACGTAACTGGTTCAGTTAATATTAAGCCACGATATGTGAAAAAAAGTAATATCACAAATGCCGACCGAAGAGCATTAAGAAGAATAATCTTGAAAAAGAGGCGTGTCAATTATTTACAATTAAGTGCTCTGTGGAGTGACGCTGTTGGAAGGAGAATTTCGAGGTCCACAACTCATCGAGAGGCCCACAAACTGGGATTTAGCACTTGCAAGGTAAGTTTTCTTATTAAAAAAAGTGAAGTAAAAACCCTAAAGTTGCACAACTTGTTTATAGGCCAACGAAAACCCTTAAATGGGCTAAAGAACACTGACATTGGACACCTCAACAATGGTGTGCAATACAATGGAGTGATGAGGCCCGATTCGAAGTTTGTGTTGGTGACAGTCGCAGTAGAGTTATTCGCAAAAAAAATGAAGCGTTCCATGTTGACTATCTGAAGAGGAAAGTGAAATTTCCAGCATCCATTATGGTCTGGGCCAGTATGTCATCAAAAGGAGTAGGAAAACTTCATTTTATTGATGGAAATGTGGACACAAACAAATATTTGGCAATTTTAGAAGAATCGCTTTTACCAGTAATGGAAGAATGTTTGACATCCGGCCAAGATTTTGTGTTTCAGCAAGGTGGTGCAGCATGCAATACCTCAAAAAAGGCTATAAAATGGCTGGAAAAAAATAATGTACCACTTTTGAAATGGGTTTCTAGCAGTCCGGATCTGTCACCTATTGAAACTTTGTGGCACGAGATGAAAAAGGTTCTACGACAGCATCCTGCTCGTACAATCACCGAACTGAGACAAAAGTTTCAAGAAATATGGGATTGTCTTACACCAAATTTTTGCCAAAACTTGGTTAACACTATGCCCCAAAGAATTTCAGCCGTAATAAAAAATAAAGGTGATGTTACCCAATGGTAATCTTTCAATTGTTGCTTTGTTCACTTCGCGCATTTATTCGCACATTGTTTATTTGTTCAGATGTTATGTTATTAGTTATAGGTCCAAGTGATTTCAAATATGTATTTTTTACGACTAGAGTGTATCTAAAATGTTTTTGAGAAAATAAATTGTTTTAGAGGTAAACAGTTTCGTCATGTTTAATTTATAAAGGCATATTTTGATACAAATCAGTGAAGTGGGCCAACTGAAGTGGGAAGGGGCTCTTATAAGTTATAAGTACTTGACCCAAATAACGCCATATTAACGTTTGATTTTGCATAGCTTCATAAATAACCTCTTAAAATTTTATGAATCTTGGTAATTATTATATCTACATATATCAGATTAAAAAATATAGTACCATGTTTTCTTATAAAAATTCGAGCAAACAAATTTTCATTTTTTGATTTACATTGCAATTGGCGCTTTTAGGAACACCTTCCTCCCAAATAACGCCAACTATGATTTTATGTAAAAAAAAAGATCACTGATTATGTGAAAATAGAAAATGATGAGTGTATGTTTTTATTTAAAGCTTATCGAGACTCACAATCAATACAAATGAAATTTTATCATTTTTCGATAAACCTACACACTCTTCGTGAATGGAACGGTTACAAGCGACACATAGACGCATATCACAAATCCTATCTTCTTGACAAATAAAGCAATACCAACCTCTCTTGGACTGAGACTTTTACTTTTTTCTTCGAATTGATTTTTTCAGTAGATGGAAAGAACAAATCTCTGACAACAACGTGTGCCGCTGAGTTAATTGCTTTGCGCATTTTCACACTTGTCGTTGCCTTGACATCAGGAGTTGTAAAAAACTCAATCAAGTTTTGGTTATTTTTATCATTCTCATTATAATTTTGTATCCCTTTTTGGTCTTTCCTTTTTCTGTTATCATTGCTTGCGTCGACTTTTGGTTTTTCTGTTTTATTTTAACGTTTACTGCGGTATTTTAATTATCTGTACCAAATCTTCTCTTGTTTTTTGACGAATTTTATTCGCTCCCTTCGGATTCATCTTTATGCCTTCCTTAATGTTTTGTGACCCGTTTTCCTTTCTATCGAGATTATTTTCAAAGTAATCAGCTTGTTTTGAAGAACTGAGTAAACTTAAAAAATCTATTACCCTTCTATTCTTTTGGTAAATTTCACTGGTTTCCATAACAGCTTGGGTCTCACTTTTCCATTTTTTTTTATTTATCGCTAGTGTGAGATTCCCAACTGGCGTTATTAGGCGCACTTAACCTAAAATTTATACTGCCGATTTTACAAAAATGGCTTACGTTTTGATTCAAACTATAAACTAGATCCAAAATAAACTTACCAAAAATGACGTGGATATCAGCAAATGTATACTAAGTCACTGACATATAAATCCGAACACCCAGTTTAAATGGTTTTATTTTAATAAAAGTTGGTGAATGTATTTATCTTACTGTAAATAACAAGTGAAAAAATTTTCAGCCTTATCAGTTGGACATTCCGGTTTTTATACTGTTTTTTTTTAATTCACTAACGCTCTAAAAATAATATTTCAGCCGCAGTAAAGAATCAACGTTGGCGGATTTTGGTTCTTGACATCCTTTACGATCGGTTACGATGCCTAGAGTACGGAGACCTGTACGATTTCGTCAACTTAGTGAGTTTGATAGGGGCCGTATAGTGGGACTTCGGGAAGCTGGACTTTCTTTTCGGGCAATTGCAGTTAGAGTGCAAAGAAGTGTAGACCCTGTGGTTAGGTGTTGTCAGGCATGGCTTCGAGAAGGCCGTACGCAAAGAGCAAGGGGCACTGGACGCCGCCGTAGAACAACAGACCGTGAAGATCGTCCCCTTAAGGGATCGTTTCTCCACTACCAGGTCCATTGCAAATTAATGGTTTGCAGAACACGGAAGAACTATTGGCATGCGAAGTGTTTACCGACGGATGAGAAGTTTTGGCTTGTTTTCATACCGGCCACACTGGGTCCTCCCTTTAACTCGAGAACACCGACGTAATCGCCTTGAGTGGTGCAGACAACGGTCACTCTGGGATCAGGAATGGAACAGTATTGTCTTTAGTGACGAGTCTCGATTTTGTTTAGGCATGCACGATGGTCGTGCCAGGGTTAGAAGGCGACGTGGTGAATGGAGGAATCCACAGTTTTTTGTTGAAAGACATGTTCATCACACTGTTGGAGTTATGGTTTGGGGTGCTATAGGTTATGGTTCCAGGTCACCTTTAATCTTCATCAGAGGTAACATGAACGCGCAGCGTTATATCCACGAAGTTCTAGAACCCCATCTTTTACCCTATCTTGACACCCTGGCAGATCCAACTTTCCAACAAGATAATGCCCGACCACATGTTGCAAGAGTCACAATAGACTTCTTTCAACATAATGATGTCACATTGTTACCATGGCCACCAAGATCTCCCGACTTATCCCCAATTGAGCACGTGTCGGATATGATGGGTAGGAGATTTCTCAATTTGCAACGTCCTCCTCAGACTCTAGAAGCACTTCGAGAGGAGTTGGTGGTTGCCTGGAATGAGATACCACAGGAGGACATTGACCACCTGATCAGAAGCATGCCTAGGCGCGTTGGAGAATACGTATCACATCAGGGTGCATCCACACATTATTAAAGGTCAAAGGGCTTTAAAGCAGTGCAATCATTTTGAATTTTTTACCATTTACTTATTATGCTTCATTAAGTACTTATACAAAATTTTATTAAAATAAAACCATTTAAACTGGGTGTTCGGATTTATATGTCACTTAGTATAATTTACACGACGATTAAACAACAAAATTCTTGCAACAAAACCTTTACCGCCAATAACGTTGTTGGTAAATGATGGCAATGCATGTGGCGACAATTGTTGCATTCAGGAAGCGGTTTTTTATGTTCCATTGCTTTACTGGATATAAATCTAAATCTTATCACATAGTTTTTGAATTGCATCAGTGGATTTCTGAATGATGGCTTCTGGCATTGTTAGAGACATGGCGTTATTTGAGTCAAATACCTTAGGTAAAGGAACTGAGCATTGCGATTTTTTTTTTTGGTATCCTTTGGTATTTCAAACGCTATCCCTTTTTGACATAACTTACGTTTACAGCACAATTCTTACGACTTGTACATATAATACGAGTATTGTGTCTTGTGACAAATCTAAGTCTGAGTAATACATTAGCTATACAGATTGCACTTAAAAAGTGATTCATGTTTTGTTTGTTGCTCAATAGTAATTTGAAAAGTGTGTAAAGCTTGACTAATTTTGTTCGGGGTTGGTGTTGCAGCGAACCACTATATTATATGAACGCCTAAATTGGAAGTAGACATTTATGAGATGTGTTTGGCGGTGCGCCTGTGGCCTGTCCAGAAAATGCGTCCATC